AAAAAAGAAGAGGTAACTGAGATAGGCTAAACCTACGGTAAAGGCTTTCCCAAGCCAACTCTATATCACGTCCAAGATTGAATACATAATTGATAACTTGAAAATGAGAAGTCACAGTACCTTCCATAACTCGACAGCTTGTTTCCTAGGGATATTTCCCAAACATCCATGCGGAAACTCCGTTATAAAGCTTAAGAACTTGCAGGAGGTCTTAGTAATAAAAGCAAAGGAAGCTAAGAGAGCTAAGAAGAGCTAAAGAGTTTCGCTTTAGGAGTAAGCAACGGATGCACTTATTTGACGCGCTCTCCCTGATCATTATATAGGATACCTAAAACTTGTTTAGGGTTTTAGGTTTATTAAACGAGCAAGTCGATTCGAGCTTTCACGATCTTCAACGAGTCGAATTCAAGCACCTGATTGACACTTATAATCAACTTTATCAAGACATTTTTTTCTAATTATTGATTAATTTTATTTTTTTATTTTTGCATCATGTTGCAAAAAAATAGAAAAATATTATTAGGATATACTTTTACAAGACACAAATATTATCAAAAGACAATAATCGTGTCTTCTAAAGTTATTAATAACACTCATAATAATTTTATTTAAACAAATACTCTTACCAAATAAAATAACTATTTTAATATTTAAAAACATTAATTTACAAATAAAAAGGAGAGAACAAATAAATTATTGGCATGTGCAAACTATACAAATATTTAAAATTGAAAAGTCAAATTCACAGTCAAACAAAATTTCAGAATAAAAGTATACACGAATAAAATAACCATAAAAATAAGAAATACATTAAATATTCAGGGTGGGTTATTTATTTAAAAAAAAAGCTGGACAAAATACAAAAGAAAATAGTCGACCGAAGTAAAATAGACGTATTCTCCGAATACGTTTTTCTAGAAAAAAAATTAATCAAAAAAACTTATTCCGAGAATACGTTTTATAATTATTTTTGTAAATTAAAAAAAAATCCTTAAAATTCAAATATTAAAAAAAATAAATGTAAAATGTATATTTATAAAACGTATTGTCAAAGTACGTTTTCCATAAAATGTATTTTAAAAATACGTTTTAATTAAA